ATTAAAAACCAAGAGAAGGAAGTCCAAAGTACAGATCTCAATCTCTAACATCTGTGTAAAAGAATACTGTTGTTGTCAGGTGCCCTTCAGTTTCTTCCAACTCATAGCGACCCCATGCACAATAGAAGGAAGCACTGGCTGGTTTCCTACCATCCGTACAATTGTTGTTAGGCTTGGACAATTGTTGTCCCCACAATGCCAATCCATCTTGTCGCGGGTCTTTTTTTTTTTTTTTTACTGACCTTCCACTTTACCATTCATGATGTCATTTCTGACCGTAAGTCCAAAGTATCAAAAACAAAGTCTTGCCATCATTCTCACATCTAAGGAGCACTCTGACTGCACTTCTTCTAAAACAGATTTGTTTGTCCCTCTGACATTCCATGGTATTTTCCATATTCTTCATTCAAATGCATTGACTTTTCTCCAGTCTGCCTTATCCACTGTCCAGCTTTCACATGAATAAGAGGTGACTGAGAATACCATGGCTTGGGTCAGAGCACCTTAGTCCCTCAAGGTGACATAAAGGAAGTGTGGGCGATATCTAAAGCAGCCAGATAAAGAATCGGAAAGCACAGGCTTTTTTGAGATGGAGTAGCTACTACTCATTCTCAGTTGGTTCTTGCCACTGAACAATGATAGCCCATTTTCCTGCATCTTTAGATATTTTAGGGCAAGTCTCAAATCCATATCTGAACTCAATGCGTTTAATTTTAAGATGTTGGCAATGAATCCCAATATTTTAAAATATTGAGTGGGCCCAATAAGTTACATCTGGATTTGTCTCACCATCTATTAGCCTGCATGATTGTAAGAATATCCCCAGCCGAGGAGACAGTAGGGAAGTGGGTATCAGCTGTGCACTTTCTCCACTTTGTGTTAACTTCATTTGGCTGAGTTCTCTTCCAGCCAGTTTGGACACCAGTCCTGTGGAAACTGAGTTGAGCAACTGGGGAAAGAAGAGGAAGATTGGGGCTTGAGAGGTGTGGGCAGGATCCAGCTCATACAAGCTTGAGAACATCCCGGAGATAAGGAGTCTAAATTGATTGGACGGGTGGTCAATTCCCTGTAAGTAGCTTGGACTAGAGCTGCTCTAATGCTTCCTGGCATCCTCTGAAGATGAGCAATATTTGCAACCAACTAGCTCAGATCTGGATTGCTCCATAGAGACCACATTCTGGACCTGAGGCAATCTCCCAGTGTCTTAGAATGGGTTCCTTAGAAATGGATTCTCAGATGGGGAGATGGACTGAAGGGTTTTGATGAGCAGTGTTAGGAAATCCTATAAGAAAGTGAGGAAGGTAGAATTGGGCAGAGGGAGAAGTTGAACCATAATGAAGTTACAACTAAGATGGAGTTCTGAAGCTCGGATGGCCTTTCAAGATTGTTCCAAATTGAGGCACGTGGCCTTTCCCCCATAGCAGTCACTCTCAAAGTGAAGAGAGAAGGGTATTTTGTGCTCCAGGGGACATTTGACAATGTGTAGAGAAATTTAGCAAAATTGGAGAAGAATCAATGCATCTGAATGAGGGTGTTGGAGAAGAATATGAAAAGTACCACGAACTGACAGAAGAACAAAAAAATCTGTGTTGGAAGAAGTGCAGCCAGAATGCTCCTTAGAAGCAAGACTTCATCTCTGGTACTTTGGACATGTTATCAGGAGGAATCAGTCCCTGGAAAAGGACATCATGTCTTGAAAAGTGGAAGGTCAGTGAAAAAACAGAAGACCCCCAACAATATTTATAGACACAGTGGCAGCAACAGTGAGCTCAAATGTAACAACAATTGTGAGGATGGGGCAGCACCAGGCAGTGTTTTGTTCTGTTGTGCATAAGGTAGCTACAAGTTGGAACCCACTCAATGGCATCTAACAACAACAGAGAACTTTTTGAAGTGACAAAAGAAGGCAATCCTCTCCTGGCATCTATTGAACAGAGGGAGTTACAGTACAATGCACAGCACTGTCCCTTGTCCAGGGCTGGTGAAAAGAGATGGGGATAAGACTCTTGTGGTTCAGTAGTGAATAATTGCTATCAGGACTGACTGTGAGTGTTGGAATGTAAAGGTAAACGTTTTGTAGCAAAAGGAGGGGAGTGGTTGATCTTGCAGTCCAGGAATGGAGATCACTGGGACCATCAAATGAGAAGAATAGAGTGCAAGATCCTACCCAGAGAAACAGCAACATCAGAGTTGGTGGCAGAGATGATGAAGTGGAGATGGAGCAGCTGGGAACTCTGGGCTCTGGGAGGGAGAAGGTCTGTGTGTTGACGGCCAGGGGGCAGACTTGTGGGGTGTACCCTTTGGTTGTTTGATGATGCATGCAGGGAGTTGTAATCATTGCAACGAAACGAAGTAAGATAGGATGACTGTAAAGTTAATGCTCTCCCATGTAAACTATTATATAATTCAAAATAAAAACTTAAAAAAAAAAATCATCCAGCACACAATGTCATTAATGCAAGGGTACAAGCCATGGGGTCCTAATCACTGTGTGGACAAGGGTGTGTTGTCAGCTTGGACACATCCCTATGACATTGCAACACTCCCAGGGAGCGGTGTACCTGTAAACTGAGCAGCGTGCCCTGAAGGGAGATCTAAAACCAAAACCAAACCAGCAAAAAACAACCAAATCTGCTGCTTCTGAGTTGTCCATAGGACAGAGCAGAAGCACCGCACAGGGTTCCCTAGGCTGGGCCGAAAATCTTTACAGAAGTAGACAACCACTCTTTCACCCATAGAACAGCAGGTGGGTTCAAACCATCAACCTCTCGGTCAGCAGCTGTGTGCTTCACCACTGTGATACTATAGCCCCTCAAAGAGGAATCTATTGTTGTTATTCTTAGGTGCCATCTGCACAACAAAATGAAACACTGCCCGACCCTGGGCCAATTTCACTATTGTTGCCACGCTTGAGTCTGTCACTGCTGCCACTTGGCCAATCCATCCCGTTGGGGGTCTTCCTTTTTTCCTCTGACCCTCCATCTTACAAACATGATATCCTTCTCCAGAGACTGCTCCCTCCTGACAATATGTCCAAAGTATGAGAGATGAAGTTTGGTCATCTTGGCCTCTAAGTAGCACTCTGGCTGCACTTCTTCCAAAACGGATCTATTGGTTCTTTTGGCATCCCATGACACTTTCAATATTCTCCTCCAACACTATAACTCAAAGGCATCAATTCTTCTATGATCTTCCTTATTCACTGTCCAGCTTTCACATGCATATGAGGTTATTGAAAATACAATGGCTTGGGTCAGGCACACCTTACAGCCAGGGGAATTTGTAGCAGAATCAAGAAATCCACTGCTTTCTAATTCAAGACGCTCAGCTATTCCTGGAGCCGCCATCTTGGGAGAGACCAAATGGAGGAAGGAACAGAACAGCCATGAATGCCTGACAGAACCGCTGAGAAAGAGGGATCCAGGCAGAGCCAAAGCCCTCTGTCAGGCCCTTCAGACCTACTTCTCAATAAAAACAATAAGTAACCATGTTCAGGGCATTGTCCTTGGAGCTTTGCACACACATATGCCTCATGGGAAGCCCAAGAAGTGGATTTCTGAGCCCCATAGTATAACATTGGAATCTGAGACTCAGGCTGGGACAATGATGGTCTTAAGAGCTAGTCACCTGTAGAGCTAGAATTTGAACCCAAGATGGCAGCACTCCAAAGTCTGGTTCTCTATCAACCAAGAAGGGCAAGTTTTGCTCAAACAAGAGAAGGACATACATAAAAGAAAGAGGTAAGGTAACCAGCCTTGGTCTAGAGTGTAGCTTCAGAGCAGCAGGCGGCCGGGAAACAATGGGCGATAGCCCACAAACAGCTGGCTCCATATCCACAAATGCTAATCCCTCCATAAAGAGGACTTGCTTCTTTTTTTGTCTTCCTTTCATCTCCTCAAGGAAAATGCACCGACCTTAGAGCTTTGTGTGGTAACAAAGACAATGACACAAAGGAAAAATAAACAATAGCCACATCCCCATAGTCAACTGTATAAAAATAATTTTATTTACTACTGTAAATAAAGTAGTGCAAAGAGTAGTTAGGACCCACAATATTGCATTACTGATTTATTGACTAGCTTAGCAGTATACAGTAGACAGATATACCTTCTAACCTTCTCTCTGTTTCTCTCTCTCTCTCTCTCTCTCACACACACACACCTAATCACACCTCTGAAAACTCAAGACTCAGGCAGGCATGGGGGTGTGGGGTGGGAGAAGACTATGAGCTAGAGGATGGTTTTCTTCACATTCCATGGCTGCCTCTCGATTCTAATGGGCCATTCAAGGAGGAGACTACACTTTAATACTAAGAGTTTTCCTAAAATGTTATTTTAAGGATAGCAAATTGAAAAGTAAACAATATCCAACAATGTCATTGAAGAATGATTCAGAAGCATTAGGACCCTAGAGAAATTCAAGGAGAAAAATGGAAACCAATTTACAAAGCCATCGCCTTCCCGCATGCTCTGCCGTGTCCCGTGTATCGTGAGGCACCTTATAACTGCTGGGTTGGGAAGTCAAGGCGACATCTGTCTAGGGTGCTTGGAAGAGCAGCGTTGTTGGCAGCCACGTTGTGCCAAATATCTACCTTGTGGGGAAGCCACGATCTCCTCTCCTCTAATAAAAAGGGCTCAATAAAGAACGCTTATTCATAGAATGCATCACATTGTATAAGGTTCTGGATATGCCTTCAGTCAAATGAGGATGCCTTATACATACATCTCCATGGATGAACACCAACCATGACCCAGTGAACTTCCCCATAGGCCTCTCTGGTCAGGATGATCCTTGTATTTGTTCGATAACCTTTGGTATAGCCACTGTCTGCTCTGGATACTTCCTTAAAATTTGATTAAAAAAAAAAAAAGTCATACCACCAAGTGCAACATTTGCATCCAGTTAAAAGACATGTTGAGTTTATCCGTATAATGCTCTGGTCCCAGGTCCCCAATACCAGCTGTTGGAAGGAAGATCTGAGGAGACCTGGGGTACACAGTTCACCCCTGTGGCTCTGGGTTATTCATGCCTGTAGGTTGGTCCTGATCCGAGGCATCTCTAGCTGGACTTGAAGCTGGATTTGAAGTGGAAGAAGCAGCAGGGTCTGTGGTGGTCCGGGCTGGAGTCTGAGATGACCTGCTGGCTGCAGACACACACACACACAATAGTTGCTGAATACTCAGAATGAGGCACTCTGCAACCCCCCATTCTCTACCCACTCCTCTCATGCTACTAGACCCTAGCAATCAAGAAGAGCCGCTTCGGGGCCAGTGCATCTGAGGCGAACTAGAGAAGCTACTCTGTCTGGGTGCATCCTCCAGGTGCCTTGGTGTGCCAGTCTGTACAATGGGAAGTACAGTAGAGATGTCAGATCTGACGTCCTATGAAATTGTAAGTTACTACATTTGTGCTGTGAGTTCCAGCTACATATTCTGTTGTTGATTTGGGACTTAGGAGACCCCAGGTGTTACAGAGTAGGGTTTTCTTGGTTGTCTTCTTTAAGAAGCAGATCACTAGGGATGTTTCTTACATGATGCTACTGGTTGAGTTCAGATGACCAACTTTTGGTTACCAGTCCAGTGTAGACCATATGGGCCACTCACTTAAATGTTTTAATTAAAAAACAAAAAGTCTTCTGCACTGTGGTCATCTTTTTATTTTTCTTCCAAGGTATTAATGCGATGTAAGCTATGAATTCTACCAATCGATTAGAAACAAGTGTTGGCTTTATTCACATTCTTACTCCATTTAGATGATGTACCAAATTTAGTTTAAATGTTTAAGCAAATATGTGTACGAGTTTGGAAAGCATTATCAATCTACGTTAAGTAAGAAAGTTGAATGACCAGACAGTTTAAGGAGACTTACAAAAATAAGGAGTCCTGGTGTGGTGCTATAGAATGAGCACTGGACTGTTAACTGTAAGGTCGGCAGTTCAAACCCAACAACAACAAAGTTTTGTACCTTATATCAATACTTTACAATGGAGGGGTTATTGTTAAGTGCCATGGAGTTGGTTCCAACTCATATTGACCCTGTATAGGGCTTCCAAGAAGCAACTGATGGATTTGAACCATTGACCTTTTGGTTAACAATCGAGTGCTTATCCTGAAGCACCACATCAGGATTCTATGAAGGGTGATTTTTCCACTTCAGGGGAGAGTTGGAAACAGTTTTGGTGACACAACTTGGGGCGGGGGTAGGGGTTCTGCTGGTAAGAGGCCAGGGATGCTGAGAAACATCTTTCAATGCAAGATGGAGAATGGTTCTGCTCTAAAAGTCAATTGTTGTTAGGTGCCATCAAGTTGGTTTTGACTCATAGTGACTCAATGTATAAGAGCATGAAACAGGGCTGGTCTCTCACCATCTTCTCAAATGTTGTTATGTGTGTTATGAACCCACTGTTGCAACCACTGTGCCAATCTTTCTCTTCTCCACAGACCTTGCTTTACGTTCACTGGGCTGGGACTGTGGGCTCTGGCACCTAAATGCTTTGTCCTTTAACAGTTGTGTGACCTCACACAAGTTCTTCTGTCTGTCAACAAATGGGGAAAATAACGGTATCTGTATCTCACTGGGGAGTCCTGGTGTGGGACTGTGGGATAAGCACTGAACCACAAGGGCAGTCTGAACTGCAAGATTGGAGGTTCAAAGTCACCAGTCACTCCTCAGAAAGCCTGCACATGCATTGCTATGAGTTGGATAGCACTAAACATCAACATACCTCATTGAGTCATTATAAGAATCAAATGAGCTAATGTACATGAAGTGTTTAGAACCATGTGTTAGCTATTACTCCCAGTGATCGCTGGGAGTGTGGTGACTCTTCAGGATAAGCATTGGACTGCAAACCACAAGGTTGGCAGTTTGAGCCTATCAGCTGCTCAGCAGGAGAAAGATGAGGTTTTTGGCTCCTGCAAAGTTTTATAGCCTCAGAAATCCTATATAGTGTGAATGTGAGTTAGGATCAACTCAACGGCATTTAACAACAACAACAATACTCCTAGTGACCTGGTTTACCATGGAAACATGTTGAGATGCATGAATCTTGCTATTTGCCTCATGGGACTGATGAAAGACGGTGTTTATTTCTGGGATGTCTAAAGTCCTCTTCTAGGCCCCAGTAACCTATGAAGAGTCCTTGGGTTGCTAAGAAGGTTAGAAGTTCAAGTCTACCCAGAGGTGCCTCCGAAGAAAGACCTGGCAATCTACTTCTCCCCCCAAAACATATCATTCACTGAAGACTGTACAGTTCTCTGTGACACACACAGGGTCACCAGAAGTTGGAAGTCACTCGACAACAACCAGTTTGGAGCCTATGGAAACAGCAGAGACTTTGAAGTCATAAAGTCCAGACATCCAGCAGTTAGAACACGTACCATCTGGGGGATCTTGGACAAGTTACTTAACTTCTCTGAGCCGCCGTTTCTTCATCTGTAAGACAGGATCCGAATTTATCGGATTGTGCCATGTGTGGCTAATACAGTGACCAGAGTTTGTGCAAAATAATTGCTTGTTGTATGAAACAGTGTTTTTAAGTAAGGTCAGAAACATTTTAGTCTTATGAAAGTTCCAGTAGAAGGAACCATTGTTAAAGGGTCCAAAAAATGATTCAACCTGGACTATATCAGCTTTCTGAAGATGCTGCTACCACATGCTGACAATCTGACATCTAGATAAAATCCTCCAACTACCTATGGTCATCCCCAAGACATCTTTCATAACTGGGACCCAAAGTCTCTGGATCCCACAAGGAATTTTGCCACTCCCCCTCCCCCTTCTGATACCTACAGAAGATTCTGTGGATTAAGAAGACTGTCCTGAAAGAACAGAATGGACAAATTGTTGCCCGAGGATGTGAGTTTCTATGGTCAATCAGCCACCTGGAGACAGGGGGCCTGGCCGTGGTAGAAAGCATGAGGCCCAGGTGACCTGATCCGGGGCACGTCTCATTTGTATGCCACCCACAAATGGGCGACTTTGGACCAGACATTTAATGGCAGAAGTCTCTGTTCTAAAAGGCTTGACTCTTTTACACAGGACACAATTTTCCCATCAGTGAATTGTAGAGGCTTGGATAAGATGATGTCCAAAACTCCTCTGGCTCTAAGATTTATCTTTCCAACAGTCTTTGAGGAAGTTAAGCAAGTACTAAGAGGCAGGCGTTTTTCCGTTTCCAGCCCAGGGAAGTGTTTCTATCTATCATCATGGGATGAACATAAATCAGCAATCAACTTTCTGATTAAAGACAAAAACAACAATAACAAAACGGATCAATGTGTAAATGTTGAGAGAATTAGCAATCAGCGCTGCCAAGATTTAAATCTCTACGTAAGAACATCATAAAAATGCTCAGTGTTTCTGCAGTGTATTATCCACGTAACAATTTCCCATCTTCCATCAGGGGCTTTGCAGACATGGGACAAGCCCTCCACAGCTCATCGTCACGTCAAAATAGCCTTTTTGTCCCTTTCCCCTGGAATGGACACTGATTTTATTCTTGGACTGGAATCGAGGTAACCAAGAAAATATGCATGCTATTTAAAAAATCACAGAGTACATTCCAGAATCCAATAGAAGTGGTTTGGGGATTACTCGTGGTTTGGGGGACCATTTCCTGTACATATTAAGAGAACAATGAAGAGATGACCCTAAAAAACCCCCGGTGATCATTCAGGTCAGCCATTCAAATCCACCAGCCGCTCGGAGGGAGAATGATGCTTTCTGCTCCCGTAAAGACTTGCAACCACAGAAATCCTTTGTGGGATCCCTCAACTCAGTGGCGATGGCTTTTTTCTTTTGTTTGGTCTTGCTTTGGCCTTGAGTGGGAATGGAAAATTGAGGAGGGATTGGCAAACTGAATCTATGGGCCAAATGTAGCCTGCTGTTTATTTTTGTATAGCCTGTGAACTGAAAACGGTCTTTATATTTTTAAACAGTTCAACCAAATTCAAAAGAGGAAGAGTAGTTCATATTATTTGAAAAATACATGAAATTCCGATTTCAGTGTGCAGAGGAAAGTGGTATTGGGAACCAGCCACATTCATTTACTTCTTAACACTTGGTCGATGGCTTGGTTATTTACCCTCCAATGCCAGGGTATTAATAATCAAAGATGCCTTTCTAGTCTTTTAAGAGCAGAAGTCTGCTGACCTCTGGTGGGGACACCTGTAGGAAAAACATCTGCTTATCAGTTGTATAAGGGAAAGAAGAATGTGAGGGAACACATCGGGTTCATACTGAAAGGATGTTACTTGAGGTACCAATGGCTAAGCACTCAGCTGCTAACTGTGTGAGAGTCTAAAATCAGAGGCATTTGGTGTGTATAAACAGAGAATAGTAAAACATCTGCACTCAGTTTCACCATTCAACATGAAAGCATAGGCATCACTCCATCTTTGAGTCTTGATGTGAGTCTAGGATCCATGTTGAATTTTAAAGTTGCCTTTTCTAACAGCAGTTCCTCTAAATTTGACGGTGACTTTAGCACATATCCTAAAGCAGACATTCTTCTTCTCTGAGGTCTGGAAGGTGCAGGATACCCCAATCTTCCGAGACTCTTTCCTCTTTGGTCAGACAGATAAAGTACAGTAGCTTATGCACAGCATTATCAATAAATCTTTATGGACCCCGGGGACAGATATGATTGAGAAAGGAATTTTAAGAGCAGGGTGCCAGAAAAACCTGCCCAGCCAGGGTCCTGTTACCAGCCTGAAATAAGCTAAGAGTTGGTCTATACCCGTAACAAATTATGTAATCCCACTTCTGTGTTATCCCTGTTAAATCGCTGCTTTTAGATATCTTGCCTTTGACTACACTGATTGTCTTCCAGCCAATTATGGTTTTGTAACTTTTAGGTCCTGCTTTGAATGTACAAAAATATTCTCTTTTTATTGTCTGGCAGAACAGACATTTTCACTCTGTGACTTTGGATGTCTTCCCAGTCTGGACAGTCTTTGGACTTCCAATTAATCTATTAATTTTACTTTTATAGAGTGTGCATTTTTACTCTGAGACCTAACGGAAAGGTTGGCGGTTCAAGTCCAGCAAGAGGTGCCTGGGAAGAAAAGCCTAGTGGTCTACATCTGAGAAGACGAGCTATTGAAAACCCTATGGAGCAATTGTGTTCCCCAAGGGAGTTGG